GTTTGACAGGAATCTAATTGAGTCCCGCGTCGTGGCGCACAGGGGTGGCTTCCGATATAATCTACGATCCCATGAATTACGAGTACCCGCGGACGCCGCCCGCTCCTTCTCCTACGCAAACAAGGCAACCCTTTGCGTGCCGTGCGAGCCGAGGGAGGCGGCGGCAGCAGCATCCGACGGCATTAGCATCCTCGGCGAGGACGGTAAGCCGCCGTCGCTGCTTTGCCGCTCCTCCGAGGCGTCTTAGATCGAGACAACCCCATGATTTCGTCTCTTCGGTATTCATGAACGGGGAGCCGACGACGACGGGGCGGTGTCGCGCGCCGCTTCCTTTTCCTTCATGAATTTACAATCGGCAGAACGAATCGTGAGAGATATATGCGCCTCGCCTCGTCGCGCGCTCATAGAGACGCGAGCCGTCTTTCTGTGCGTTACGAGCGGAACTACTGTATCTTCTGTTCGGTTTCATTGGCGAATTGTAGTGAGATTCACCGGATATATCTGAGCGACGTCAGGAATTGTCGGTGCGCGCGTGTGATGCGCGCGTCGCTTCCCCGACGTTCCGCGGTTCTCCTCGTCGTCCGTTCGCACCGTGCGTCACATCGTGAGGAAACTTTGGGACTAGGCCGAAAATTACGCGATTTTGCGGGAGGCGCGTACTAGAAAAATACACGCTACATTCAAGCGAATATTACTCGTTCGAAATATTTTGTAAATTTATATAACCGTGAGTATATTGCAGGTTCCCCATAAGCATCGAATTTATTCCAAGTATATTCTGAATATTCTGAATTAGTAAGTTTAGTACTTCGATCAAGAATATACTAAACTAAAACACTAAGACTAAAACTCCGGTTTATAGAGAAATCATTATAGCCGGGGACTCTAATTTTTGCGGTAGGAGTTACTACAATGTTAATGATAATAATTCTATACACGCACGTGTTATTATTACTGCTCTTTGAAAATGACTATAACTTTAGTGAAATTGATCTTTCCCTTTCTTACTCAGCCGACATGATGTATGCCGCACCGTTCCTTAGATCCAAATTTGTACGAGGTACACGCTCCCTCGAGCGTGACGCGGCGCTCCGAATTTGAGAAAGGCGCCAAGAAGTGCACAGTAAATAATCCCGTTGAACGTTTAATACGTTTGAACGGGGTTTCCCACCGAGCGCGCATCTCTCTTCGCACCCGCCTTACCGTCGTCGGTCGGTCCATGAGACCGTCCAGTTGGAAGCGAACGTCCCCGGCGCATAATCGCATCAAACGGCAACAAATCTGCGCCACCGGAGTACAAGGGCGCGAACCGCGGACCGCAGAACCGAGGGGGATCAACCGGTCGGGCGGGGGAGGAGGAGGAGAGGGGGTTTAGGTGGTCGTAGGCAGTGCCACGTGCTGCTGTCACTAGCACAGATTATATTATATAGGAATGGCAGCGAATAGGTGTAGATATAAGCACCAGAGCGGCAGTTAATAAATATGATAATGGCGGGTGGAATGAGAGAAAGAGAGAGGGAGGGAGGGAGGGGTAGAGCCGTGGGGTGCGATATGGGAGATACCACTGTATAAGAGTGACCACCAGAAGCGGAGACCTGTCATCGTCAGGACCTCTCGTATGTCACGTGGACACGTACACGCGTACGTGCACAGATACATACCGCGGTCCCCTTCCTCCACACGCACACACATGCGCACATGTACATAGCGAGGGGCATAGCAACACGCGCGCGACGAGAGCGTATTTGCTCGATTCTTTTCGTCGCACGCGTGAAACGAACGGGTGCGACTAGGTCGAGACCGGTAGGACCCGGCTGTTTCGGTTTCAGCGAAACCAAATGAAAACGATCGATCAGAAGGCACTTTACTTATGAGAGAATTTTACCGTCTTCCTTCGCGATCACTAAGCGCGTCTACTAAGCCCGTTCCCCCTCCCCTCCCGCCGTCGTTCGTGACCCTTGCCGTAATTTGCGCGCTAATCTCGCCGCGTTCCGGCTTTCCGAGCGCGCGCACACTTTACGTGTGTGTACACGCGCGTATCTACGGCGCGGGCAGTCGCGGATCCGCAATGCGGCGCGGCGCTGTAGCAATTAGTCACGGTGCATTTAATAAATCGCCAGCTCCCGCTTAACCTCGGGGAGGGTTAAGTCGCGTCGTTCTCCCCTTCGGAAAATATCCAATAACGACCGGCTGACTCGGCTCCGCGTCTACCTGCCGCTCCGCACGCCCGGCATTAACCTTCGCCCGTCCGTCCGAGAGAGAGAGAGAGAGAGAGATCGGCTTACCTTAATAATCGCAGGTACACGTCGCGCGCGCTCTACAAGGGGGTTACAGCGTTACGGGGCCAACGTTCTGCGTCGTCGCCTCATCAACGGGACTCCGCTCGACGGTGAGGGTGTTACCATGGCGTCGTCTGGCAGTCGACCGGGGCGGCGTGCTCAGGGCGAGAGCGATCGAAAATCGCGAGAGATGTAATGAAACATTCTTAGCGTGACGAGGGCTCGTATTTTCATTGCTGAATGCCGCTCTTCTCGCGACCGAGAGCGAATTTTTATCCGGTGGCGAAGCAACGCGCGCATCCGTGGGGTGTCCTTCGAGTGCGTCTATGCGTTTTATGTGACTAATCGCGTCCGACGGGCGGGCGTAGATTGGCTTTCTTTTCGTTTCTTCCATTCGTTGAACGTAGGATCGTCGAGATAGGTCGAGGACGACGAGGATCAGTGTCGATCGACTCACTCTTTCTGGCTACGTGGAAATTGATCACAATTTTCCCAAGTATACCGATAGAAAATTATACAGTTATTTCGATGCCAAACCCTTTTTTATTTTAATCACAAAAATAGGAGAACCGTTTCCCTAATGAGTGTTATTATATTATCAGTGGTAATAACATATGCATATATTGTTACTACCATAATATATGTTTGGCGCCGAAAATAACTATAATTTTCTATCAGTGTACAATACACTTTCTAAACGAAATATCCGAGTTTGACCCAAAATAAGCTGTCCCGTTAGGATAGCAATTAGGAATTCCATTTTTATCCCAAACATTAGTTTCTTGTCTAGAATCGAAAACAGAAGCCGTGGGAGCTCGCGCTTTTTTCAATGTGGGCAAAATTGGTATACTTTTATGAGAACAAATGGAGGAAATCTCGTTTTTATATCAACTGTTGAATTCAGTAGAGAGTAAAAAATAAAAAAAATAAAATTGTTTCGAATATTTTGAAACACTTCGAAATATTTGGAAACACGAAAAATATTCGGCGTCTCATGTATGCTTTGTTCAATTTTAATATAAAATAAAAACCGGGTACACGCTGGAGAGAGAGAGAGAGAGAGAGAGAGAGAGAGAGAGAGAGAGAGACAAAATCAACGAAGGAATAATCGTACACACAGTGTGCGCAGACACGAGCTTCGTTGGTGTGTTCGAATAAGTGTATCGTTTTATTAATATTTCTCTTATTATTTACAAAACTTGATAATAATCTCTAGCTGATTTCGCTCACCATGACATACTACTCGATATCATCAAACCCTATACTTTGCTTCTTCTTCTTTTTTTTTCCTCTTGTTCTGCGTGATCGTTATACGGTGTGTCGGATAATGCTCGTCCACTAAGTCGTTTATGTATAATGAACGTCGTCGTCGCGCGCGATTGAAAAATTTCGTTGTCGTCATGCACGCACGCGCGCGCGCGCGCGCGCGCGCGAGCGAGCGAACGAGACGCGTCCCCATTTTCTCATCACTTCGCGGCGCGAAACGCGCGCTCGCGCGATCCTCTCACTCACCACACAACAAACGTACGTACATACGTGTATTTACAATGTATAAGTGTCATTTACAATTGAACGTGCGGAATTCTAAACTTTACACTCGCCGCTCGAGATTCTTTCGCACGCGACGCGAACGCGCGTCGTGTGTCTCGAAAAAAAAGGAAAGGGAAATAATAATAGAATGACTCGATTTGTTCCTCTCATCCATCCATCCATCCTTTTTTCCTTCCTTTCTCCCGCTGTCCTGTGCGCTTCGTTCCTCCTCCTGCATGAGAAAGAAGACCTACGTCGAGCTGCTTCTCGCGAACGTCGTTGCTCGCGAATCAAATCGTGTTACGGTACTGTACAGGTGAAATGTGTCATCGTTCCGGTAAGCCGCGCGACCGATTTTCGGGTTCTGACGCGGAAATAATTTATACCTCTCTTCTTAACGAAATATCTATACACTCGCGATATGTACAGGGTGTAACTAAATAATAAAAGGGCAAACTTTGGGCTCGAGGTCCCCGCACCAAAACGCACACTCACTGTTACTGAGATAGAACTCAAACAAATGTTGATTAGTGCAACTCACTATTTATAATCGGAGCGATTGTTTCATTATCTAATTCATCTATTTATCTGATCCGTGGCTATTTTCTTGTATAGTAAGTAGTTCGGATCTTTGCTGCTTGCGAAACCATACGCAACCATCCCGGGATCTTTGAAAAGATGCGACAATCTATGGTCATTTGTTGTAATTAAGGATTGTAATTAAAAACTGAAGATAATAATAAATAATATCAAGTAATAATTAATAATTATTGCTTTTTCATTTTGCATTAATAAACATTTGCTTAAGTTGTATCTCAGTAACAATGGATTTGCGGGTATATATACTGAATTGAATTCTTTTTCATGTTTTGGCGTGAAAAGCTCGGCCCCGAAATTTGTCCTCTTACTTTAGTTACACCCTATATATGTAAAACGTCGCTTAAAATAACACTTCGTTTTCGTGCGGGACTAGAATTCTCTTGAGATGAAGCGGCGAAAATTTCAGTTGCCCACGTGAGCTGATTTTGGACTGCAACGGAAGTGCTCCAACGAAAAGACGAAAGAGAGAGAGAGAGAGAGAGAGAGAGAAAGAGAGACGTCTCGAGATGCGTCGCGCAGAATCGCGTGAATCGCGGACGACGAGTTGTCGCGTGCTCTGTCGCGAATTCGCGGGGGGGGGGGGGNGAAAAATTGTCGCGTTGTCGGCGGGACTTCGGCTACCGAAGCGATGAAAGTGTCGGGTCGCGCGCGCGGATGGAATAATGCGCGTTGACATGACAATATATATATATCGCATTTGCGTATGACAATGCTGCAAAATTCCACGCGTAAATGCGCGCCGGGATTTGTCTGTCGGACGTGCGCTCGACGCGGGAGAGAGCGGGGCGCCATTGTCTGGGAGCGACTTTCCGCGCGACAATGTCGCTCTCGCTCGCGAGAGCGAGAGAGCGTGTCTCGGATATCGCGTTCGATGAAATCGAGTCACAATCACCGCGCGCGGCGCGGTGTACTATTTCGTAATTCGAATCGACGGGTTTCAATCCATCGAGTGGGCGCGCGGGGACCGATAATTCGCGAGCGAACAATCCGTTTCGCCGTTCCATTGTAGCCGCGCGCGCGTGTTTTGTTTCCGATGACTCTGCAGCGCTTTACAATGTCGTCGTTTATTTCGGACGCGACGAGCGCTCCCGGAAAATCGCCATTCGAATCCGCGAATACGCCGTATCGATTTGGAAAATATTGCATTTTGTTCGTTTTCCCTCCTCTCTCTCTATCTTTTTGTTTTTTTCCGTTCTCTCTTTCCGCTCCGGATGAAGCGTTTTCCGCGACGCGTCTTCACAGTGATTCGCGATTATTGCTCGTTTAATGAGAGGAAGAGGGGAGGGAGAGGCGAAGGAGTCGGTGAAAGAGAGCAAGACAGAGGAATGAGGAAGGGAGAGGTGGAAGAGGGAGAAAAAACAGGAGAGTCGCGAGTTCAGACATTTCGGATATTTACTGCGTTCAAACGGTAAGCTGCGGTTGCTGGGGAAAGAAGGGCAAGACGGGACGATGTCTCGAGCACTGAAATACATTCATATTGAAGGAGGCACCGGGCCTGGAAAAGTGCAGCCGGTAGAACCAACTTTAGGCCAACTTTAGGGCGTCCTCTCTTTGTCGTACGCGTATGCGTCGCTCCCTTTAGAAAGAGATAGAGTTAGATACAAGTAAAAGATAGATTGCCCTAAACATCTATCTGTCACAGGCGTTGGCAGTGCCTCTTCCAATATACTCACATTACAATGAGCTCAAGCGCGACCGGTGCTGTTTCTGTTCGGAAAACGCAACGTTTCGCATCCACCACGGTTACGCTTGCCGCGGTGCGCCGGCGGTAACGGGAAAATCGATTCGAGTGTGTCGACAAGAAGCGTTGTCGACTCTCCGGTGAGAACGTGCCGATTCGTGTCGGCCGGCTCGCAGACGTCGAGCTTCGTGCGCGCCTCACGTTGACCCAGAAACACCTCCCGACGTCCGTCTTTCCTCGGCTCACACCAAGGAGCGAGTCCGCCTCCTGGAGCGTACGCTGTAGGGAGTCGAAGGCCTCGTCCCGCCCGCACGCCCGGCGAATCGCTCGCGGATCGATCTCTGCGGCGACGGACATTACAAAGTGGCCGGTGGTTACCCCGGTGGCGCACGCTGACTACGGACGTTCCCGTCGTCGTAACGCCATCCCCGGCTCTCACTATATCGATATCACGAGCGCGTACTCACTGATTTATTGGTGCGAACGACCACACCGAGACGGCCCCCTACAATCATTGGGCATCACGTACCCCATCGATCTTCGATTGTCGCAACATCACGTCCCTCGGTCGTCGTAAACGTGCCACCGGCGACACGACGCGTGTATCGCGCACGAGAAAGAGAGAGAGAGAGAACCGTGTGTCCGTTGGTCTCGAGCGCAGTAACCGGAGCGCTCATGAGACCTCTTCGTTACGGAAAGAGAAAAACGTAGAAAGAGAGAGAGAGAGAGAGGGAGAAGAAAGAGAGAGAATATAATCATCGCTCGCGTGATTTCAAATTGTGATCCACAAAATCACAGTGCGGGACATCCGAATGTTCCACGACGGATAGAGAAGAGACCCACAAGTCCACGGGTCCCTTCCGGTATCTTTCTCTCCCTCTCTCTCTTCCTTCTCTCTCTCTCTCTCCCTCTCTTTCGCTCTCCATGTCTGGTGAACTCCCTTCGGTGAAGAAGACGGTGTCAGGTTCATCCTGCGGTCAGAGGTCCAGCCGTCGACGGTGCATAGAGTCAATCGTATTCTCTCTCTCTTTCTCTCGCTCTGGTCCCTCCTAAGGACTGTCGTCGGGTATGGCGTACCAGGCAGCTGGATCCGCGGCGAGGGCCCATGGGCCTGCGACGGAGGGATTGGCGTAGGCCGCGGCCCCCGCCGCGGATGGCGCGCACTACCAAGCTCGACCCTGCAGCGGCAGGTACGCGCTGCACTGCGGCTGCTGCTGCTGTTGCATACCCTGCTGCGCGCCGGCCCGGGTGTACGAGCAGTGCTGCAGGCTCTGGCTCGAGCTCATCACATGGCTGACGCCCACGACCGAGTGATGGGAGACGACCGAGGAGGTGGCAGCGTGATGGCTGCCGTGGGGACTCGAGGCCGCCGTCATGTGCGGCGCCGGACTCGCCAAGGCCGCGCTGGGCCCGCCGCGGCTACCCTCGTTTCCGCCGCCGCTGCCGCACGGCTTCCCGTCCTTCACCAGCACCGGCACCGCCACCCGCCGCGGCGAACTCGCGCTCTGAAACAAGGGAGAGGCCCGTCATCATCGATTCTCTCTCGTTGCTCGTCGGCGTGTGTGTATGTGGATGTGTGGGTGAGTGCCGGCTCACGGTTCATTACCGGCGTGTTAAATCACCGATCGAGTTGCGTAATAATATAGAGGGAAAGGGAGGAGAGAAATTAATTTATCCTTCGTACCGGGCAAAATATGTTTTTCACGTTTTCCTCGTTTACGGCTCGTAATTTCTCTGAAAAATCACCCTCGTGAACGCCGCCTGCGAATTTTACAGCGCGTCGTCGTCGTTCCGGTAACGCGAAAGAAAAGATTTTCTCGCCGTGAGCAAAATTTCAGTCACCGTTGCTGGATGTACAGGTGCCTAAAACCTAACATGTGTCTACTGTAGCCAAACATGCAGGTGTCCATACACTAACTGAATCTTCGTTGTGACTTATGGACACTTACAAGTTTAGCCACATATCATACATCCAGTAACCAGTAGCTAAAGTTCTAGTTGCAGCAGCACATCCCCAGCTACAGCAGCGAAACACCTTCAGCCGAATTATGATAATTAGCTGCGCCATCGAAATCTTTCTTTTTTCATGAAATATAATACGTGATAAAACATACGCGCGCGGCTCTCTATCGGGTCTTCTTTCATTCTTTTTTTTTTCGTCGGTTTTTCTCTCTCTCTCTCTCTCTCTTTCTAATGAGTAAACACTCGCGCGCGTGGCTACCGATCGTCTCTCATGGAATATTGAAACGTCACTGTTTGCCGAAGCTCCTTGGAACGAGTGTACGCATTTTAAGTGCGCACTCCGGTACGCACACACATGTACATACCGCGCAATCTCAACTCTCCCGGCTTGGTGGACGCTGCGGGAACAAACGCGAGGATATACGTGGGCCGGCAAGGACCTCGGGCCGAGCGTTCCTGTGTTCCGAGCAAACACGCGCAGCGCGGTAGGCCCGGTAAGGCACTTAACCCGCGCGATATCCCGCGATCGGCGCTCGCTGCGACGGACGGGGCGCGTAGAACGCGCGCGCGATGGATTCTCATTACGAATAAACAGTACGGGCTACCGTGAGCCACGTTTCGAATCTAGTTTCACAGACGGAGGAGAAAATGTTTACGCGATCTACGAGAGTGAAAAACCGTTTTCCCAGGATAGAGGGTATTCTGCTGAGTGAATGTATCCTTAGGACGTTAGAACACGTTGCTATTCGAACAAAATAACGTTTTCCCGCATTTATCAATTTGTTCTTACAGCAAAGTCATTTATAGATGCGGCCGAAGAATCCGGCGGACAAATGGTAACTAGAATTCTTAACAAATCATTTTGCTATTCTTATATAATAACTGACAGATTTTATTGCGACAGCATAAAATTCGCTGTGACAGTGAATTATTTTTCTGCGTGCAGTTGAAATTGCCTCTCGGAGACAATAAACAGACGTAATCCAAGGACCGACTTAATGCATTCTTCCCTGCGCATGGGAGGTCCGTATTAAATATTGGACACGATAGAAAAAAAAACACGGTTTTTTCCACGTGGTCATCATCTAACGTGATCATTCAGAATTGTGGAGACTCGCTCGAAGGAGAGGGTCTCGTTCTCTCTTCGCGCAGGGCCCGTGGGCGTAAAGACAGCCCTGTTCTGTACGCCAACCTGGACCCCGTGGACCCCACTGCATACCAAACAGAAGCCGAAGCAAGCAGGCCGAGTACCTGCCAGGACGACCACTCAGCTGTATCAACATTCGGTACACGACATTCCTCTTCGATCTCCTCGCCGGGTGGGAGGAGATTTAATAATACGATCGCGCTGAAAAATAACGTCGTACGACTAGCTCGCTCGCTCGCTCGCGCGACGATCGCGATTTCTCGTCGGTGATCGGGTGACGTGGTTTACGGCGGGACGATTCCTTAGATTTTCTCTTATTCGATTATCACGTTGCTGCGTCGTCCGTCGGACGACTGTCGATCAAGTCAAAGATATTCTCGCGGAGATTCGCCTGTACGATTTTCAAACACGATCCTGCCGTCGGAAATAATGTCGGAAAGAACATTGAGAAGAGAAAAAATGAATTATCTCACAGTGCACATCCAAGCCATTTTCGGCGTCAGCTATAATTTTTGTTGTTCTAACGAAAAAATAGTGACGGCAATTTACATACGAAGTATTGTTATCGTCAATAACACACTGCAGTACCACAAAAACGGCCTCCCGACTAGAATTATTTTTATTTCACCGTGCAATTAGTCACAAATACCGAACATTCTTTCTTCTCGGTGGATAAACCGTAATTATTTCGGCCTGCCTTTTTTCCGGATATCGAGACAACGGGAGGGTTTATATTGCTTTATTTCCGGCGCGCTCGCGCACCGTTTCCGAAATTCATGCGTTCAAACGGGCAAAAACTCTTTACATTAACTTTATATCGATGTTGCTCGCTAAACGAGATTTATAGCAACTTTCGCGTTTTCCATTTTTTCCCCTCTTTTTTTTTTCATTCGTTCGTTTGCACGATGGAAAAATTGCCGCGATGAATACGCGTATAGAGGAAAAAAAATAATAAAAGAGAAGGAGAGAGAGAGAGAGAGAGAGAGAGGGAGAGAGAAGGGAAAAGAGGAAGAGAGGTGGAATATACAGGCCGACCAATGGAATGCGACGAAAAGGTTTATGCGGGGCAATGAATTTTTTTTCGCGAGCGCGCTCGCGCGCGAATAGATACTTTTATGCAAATCCGCGCAGTGTCGAGTGGTGCCGGGGAGGTATACGACCGATTTGATTCGAGTGGCCGGTACGAACTTACGTGCGCGTTGCCGTTTGCGAGGGCATAAGTGCAGAGCATGCCGTGCACTTCAAGCTGACAAAGTGACGATTACGCTAAACGCATGACGGTCCGTGCGCGCGTCACGCGTCACGCCACTTTAGCCACTTTAACGCGCGTTAAACGATTTCCGGCCAAAATGCCTGTATGTTGGGATTCGCATAGAGTACGCCTTCGTTGAGAGAGAAGACCGGGCCCGATTCGGCCCGGATTCGGCTGTCACGCGACGCGCCGGCTTTATACCGGATTTATCTCGGCGCATATGTTAAATCGATGAAAATAATTATAATAATAATATTAATCCTATGTGTGTGACAGTGTCATATTAAGTCTACGAGGTCTACACACGTTTTCTTTCGCTCAACCTCTCTTTCTCATTTTGTGCAAGACGCTGTTCTATTCCTCTATCACTCGGGAAAAAAGTTGGATTTATGTGACCACACTGAGTGAAATCCATTAGAATGAAAATAATCTTGTTTAGATATGGGTAAACAAATTTTGGTTATAAGAACTAAAGTTTGGTGGAAACGAAAATGAAAAGCTGATTCAGAGAACCAAACTTTGGTCCTTATATAATCAAAATATTTGTTTGCCATATCCAAACAAAAATTTAGTTTGATTCAACTAAATGAGTTTCTCAATGCCTTGCTATTATCAGCCTGCTATTAATCAGATCCAATAAGATAACTGGTTTCCTGGCGGCAACCAGTCTACAAAGATAATAAATAAAAATTGGTAACAATAATAAATGTGTGTAATTCCAAAAAAATGCAGAAAGCCATGATTTTTACATTTTTTTTTTCGTGATGAAGTAGGCCTGAAAGGCCTATAATGTTACTTCATCGTCCAGATCGCAAGTATTGCTCTCAGTGTTAACAGTGACAATCTCTGTAGCGATGAATAATAATGAGGGACAGAATAAAATTTACTAGAAGTGATGAATAGCAATAACGAGGACGAGGGCGACTTAATAATAGACGCACTGGCTAGAGAAACAGCGCGAAAAGGCGCGCGATGATCGATAATCACACGTAATGGAGCGGAACTTTCGCGTCTCCTTCGACACCAGGATATCGCCGAGTGAACGAGGCCAGACGAACGCGTCGACCGGGAGACGGTCTCTTCGCGCGGTGTAATTACACGCGCGCGACGGAAGTCGGGCCGTTATTAGATTTACAAACAAGCGCGCGCGCGCGTTTATAAGATCTGTTGAATTCCATTCGTCGTGGAAACGAGAGGTTCCGGCAGAAATCTTTTAATGTCCCTTCCGCGTTTTCTTTGTTCGACTGGAGACCGCGGAGACTGAAGAGAGAGAGAGAGAGAGAGAGAAAGAGAGAGTCGCGGTATCACAGTATCGGCGATGCGCGAGACAGCTCTCGGTTAATTACTCGCGTCGGCGAGAACGTTGAGGCTTTCTCCCCGACGGCATCCCTACGGACGTCGCCGTAACGCCTGGAATCTTGGAGTTTATAAGCCTTTCGTCGCTACTCGTGCGAATGAAACTTCGGGTTCGTCTCCTTTCCTGTTCACTATAAATTCGTGCTCTCGGCAAAGTAATCTCGCTCAGCGTGATAAATGTCATCTTCGACTCTCTTTCTTTCTTATTTATTGGAAATTTCTGCTGTCGGAAAGGTAATTTTGCTCAGCGTGATGAAGGTAACTTTTAGCTTTCTTCTTTTCTCGTTTACTGAAAATTCGTGCTCCGAGAAGGACAATTTCGTTCGGCGCAACTTCGAAGATACACTGAACAGAGTCGTTTTCTCCCTCTTTCTCTCTCTCTCTCTCTCTCTCATCCCTGATGAACTTCGACGGCCGATGGTATGTCGCGAATACGTATTTCAATTAATTTATTTTCATTTATTTATTTATCAACGCAAAATATCCCTTTCGAGTATTCTCGGAGCGACCCCTTTGATTCTCTCTCGACCGCTTCGCAATTTATTTTCCCTCCTTTTTTTTTTAATTTGGTCGCAACGCGCGTTTCAAAGAGCGACGATAAAATTACAGATGAAACAGCGCGTTCACCGCTGCAGTAATCGGCGCGGCACGATTATCGTGATCATTAATCTATCAATCGTACACTCGTTTCTCTCGATAACAGCGACAAGGTCGAAGGTCAGTGACTATACGCTCGTCGAGCGGCTGAGATTAAATCAATACCGTGCCGATGCACGAATGGCGTACTGGTAACCAGAGTTGCGCGCTGCAAAACCAGCGGCGAGCAAACCGATCGCAAAATCGATCGCTTCCCGCCGACTATTATTCCGACTTTGCGCGTTGAATTTCCGCCGTCGAAATGCTATTTTATTATATTTCGCATAGCCCTATTAGTCCGCGATTCGCGTCCAGATGCTGCGCGTGACTGTACTGCACGGCAAGATGGCGACCGGCCCTCGAGAGCCCGTTTCGGTACTCCCCTGTAGGATTTCTCTTTTCTCTTCTCCCCTTGTTCTCCTCTCGCTCACCTTTCTCTTCCCGTTCCCCCCTCTCTTCCCCCCCCCTCTCTCTCTCTCGGTTTGCATTCTCTTTCCTTCTCCACTTTCCTCCTTTCGCCCTTCTTCGTCCCTCTCTCGTGTTCGCTCGCTCACACCGGTACTTGAAATTTTTTACCGCCATGAAGGGTGGAAATGGAATAAAATGAAAAAAAAGGGGAGAAAATCTCAGCGTAGACTACCAGCACGCCGTCGAGATCGTCGCGGTGCCGTTGGCCGCGTCGTCTTCGCGCGCCTCCTCCTCCTCCTCTTTCTCGTCCTTCTTCACCTTTGCCCGCGTAACGATCGAATTTTCCCGCCGTGCAGCGTGAAATTAGCCGCGATGGGTCGCATCATCGGACATCGAGAGAAGCGACAGAGGGAATTTCCGCGACCGTCTCTCCTTCCGCGCGCCGGCGATGAAAGGGAGAGCCGAAATAAATCGCAGCCACTCCGGAGGCAACAATACGGGTCGATCGAGCGGGCGTCGAACGATGGAAAGAAGGGAGGACATGTACGCGATGCAAACGTGTCCACGGAAGCACGAGAAACTAACGACTAAATTATAGGGCGGCTATACCGAGCGGAAGGATCTGCGTTCGCTCTCTCGCAGATCGGCCCGCCAGATTGCTTTCAGCGCCATATTAGAGACACACTGTGAAGCTGTTTACGGGCTGTACCGCGACGCAACATCGAGTCTTTATTGTCGCTTATTGAACTCCATCTCAATGGAGGCGGCTTCTCCCCTCGATATCTTCTCGATCTCGAACGAAGTCCGTCGTAGCGCGCGGACTTCGCTCGAGTCGGAGGATCTCTGATGCCTGACGACGATTTTTTGCGGAAGCTCGACACCCTTCATCTCTCTCTCTCTCTAAATGCATCTATAAAGCGTCTAAAATGCACGTACCTCTATCTACCTCTCGGTACTCCCGGCGTCGATATTAAAATCTCCGCATTTTCGGCGGGTGACGGTGACACGTTAAAATCGCGCGGACGTTTCATCGGGTCCGGGTGTTTCGTTTTCACTCTCCGAGGACGCGTCTCTGGATAATCGATAAGCGCATGAAGTTCGCCGGGCCGCGAGCTCTAACGGTTTCTAACACCGCACGACGACGGTTTAGCGAAATCGTCCGAAATCGAGCGGCCGTTCCGCGGGGACGGAGTGTGCGTGTGTGTGTGTGTATGTTTTGACTCGCGCGGCCTCGCGCTCTCGCTCGCTCCCGGCACTAAACTATATTTTCAATCGAATTTCGATAGTCCCCGCCGCGATCCTGCGCGTCTCTCTCTCTCTCTCTCTCTCTCGACGCGCAAAAGTGCGCAACGAAAATCCGCTTATATCGGTGCGCTCGAGCTGCACCGAGAGTGACACTTGTCCACGTTATTTCCACGAGGAATATTATCTCCCTAAAGCGATAACGAAGTGACGAATTTCACTTTTTATAACGATGGATCATCGCGCGGCACCGCGACGTCCGTCGCTCTTGCGCTAATCTAATCGCCCACCTCCGCTCCGATATAGGGGGTGAGGCGCCGAAATCGTACTACTTAAGGTATTTGTAAGATGTTTATATCACACACACAGAGAGAGAGAGAGAGAGAAAATACAATGCAATTCGTTAAAAAATTAAAGTATTTAGTGATATTGCTATTGAATGAGTTTCAGTGATATTGCTATTGAATGAAGAAGATTCACTCCAATTAGGCGTGCTGTTGGAAATTTCATTGATCCGACAGCATTTTCTTTTCTTCCGTGCGCGATTCGTCGGTTTAATGCGCGCCTTCGGTCTTCGTGACGGCGCATACACGTCGCGTCCTAATGTATTCGGTGGAATCCGCGTGTATCGCCGCGATCGCGGACGCCTCTTTCTAATAATATTCCCCGCCGGGCGGAGGGTGAGAACAATTGGTATTCGAGCGCGGCGTTACCGGCAGATCCTAGAGACACGGCACGTTTCGAAGTCGCGGCCGCGGTATCTCGGCGATCGCGCGGCTCTCTTGTTATTTAAAAACGCCCGCTCGCTCGCTCGGCTGGCGTCGACAATTTTCGCCCGTTAATATATCGCCACGTTTCCCCCGAGAGAGAAGGCACGTCCTTGCGATCGTATAATTCGACACGGATGACGCGCGAATCAAATATATCCCGGTCCGTCACCGCCGATGAACTTTGCACTTCGCGAGCGGCGCGATTTTCAGCTCCGGCGCGAGATTGCTCCGGATTTCAACGGCGCGCAAATCCTCTGTGCACCTACACTACGTACGAATATTTTACACGGTAATCTCGCGCTAAATTTTTGAGCCGCTGTTAAAACGCGACAGGCGTGATTACGTGCTCGACGCGGGCAATTTTATCGTTCGCGTCGACGACGCGATCTCCCTCTCCCAAATGACATAACAAAATAAATGCAAAATCGCTTCGGGAGCTCGAGTGGCACTCTCGAAACGAAATATGATGCGAATGCGAGGATTTATGCGGCTTCCGTGATATTTCTCATTGAAAGCCATTTCATTTCGAATCGGCGGACGCGACGGCGCATCCGCGTCGAGCACGGGGAGTCATTGTTTTAAAAACCGCCGGAACGATCGAGAGACGAGCGCCGGCATCTCGATGCCGTGTACAGGAAAATCACGCGTGCTCGACGCACGAAAATGTCGCGATCGAGGAAAATATTCCCGTACACATTTGCGACCTGGGCGCGCTTATTCTGCAAATTTTCGCAACAACGTTGTCGTTGTTACGCAGGTGTGATCGCAGTTGAGTGACGCTTAGCGATATTGTCGGCGAAAGTTGCGGAATAACCGCACTGATCGAAATCACTCAAACATTATTACCCCTAAAGAGACTCAAGCGAGGGTCACGCACTATGTTTATATTCCTCTTTCTCTCGTTTCTTTTTATTATGTATTGAATTACTAATTATATCTACTGCACGAAGGGGATTCTTCGCATAAATAAATCGAAATAATAATAATAATATTAAGATTAGACTTCGGTTTCTCTGAAAATATAAATAATACGTATGAAACGAAAGGATAATAAATTAAGGCTGCCTGTCGACATGATACGTTCCTCGATTAGAAAATTCCATGGTGATTTCTGATGCAAAGTTCTCTCTCCGCGTATAAATCGCGTGACGCATGTGTGTCGGGTGTACACAAATGACGTATTAACATACGGTGCGTTTATCGGCTCGCTGAGTGTAATAGCAGTCATTAAAATGTCGTACCGTCGCGCAAATTGCGACGTTACGCGCGAAGCGGCTCGCGATAGACGTCGGAGTGCGCGCAATTACCTGATTTTGGGCATTCTGCTCGGCCATCGCTTTCTCTTTCGCTTGCCTCTTGCACTTGTACCGGTGGTTCTGGAACCATATCTTCACCTGCACACACGAAACGCAACAATTGAGTCTTCGCCTTGAGCATCACGCCGATATCTGAGAGTATTTCTGGACGCGCAGCGAGCGCTAAACCCATGGCTTAAGCTGAAATAACGTTACGCACGTGACGCTCACATGAGAAAAGAGGAAGTTGGAATGAGAATGGCACCTTCAGCGTTCGCTATGCGTCCAGAGTAAGATTCGATACAGTCAGTAGCCGCGTAATGCAGTCTAAATTCATTCAGCTCGCTATATAGTAGACAATTTTATGTCACAAACGATCCACCCAAATCCTTGCGTTATTTTAAAAAGTGAATATGTTGAAAAATGTAGTTGGCGCCGGACATGATTTTAATGGCAACAATCATTCTTTTCTCTCAATGTACACGCGAGTTCGTGGACGCTTCTACGTAGCGGATAGGACGAAGCACGCGCTGTCTGGGACGCTCGACGAATAACAGTTCCGCGACCAAAGCCGAAAATCGACGGCATTGAGTCGCTCTTACGTCGGTATAAATCGGGTGACACGTTTCGTGCGCGAACTATGTTGGCCAGGTAGGCCGGCGAATGTTTTTCCAGAGGCTGCGACGGCGGCGGCGGCGAGAAGCCGCTTTGTCAGGCGCACTTTTCAACCTCCGAGCCATTCCCGATCCCCTAAATCCGTAATTCACGGTTAGAAGTCTGTGTTATTTCTTCGAGAGGGATTTAACGCGTCGTTCACTTTGCGCTGGGACGCTGGGAGAGAAGGAGATAATACGAATTTTACGTCGCGCGCCGGTGAAAAAAAGAAAGGAGGAAAATCGCCGGGAACTTCCGCTCTCTGTCACTGAATTTCGCGCGAGCCTCGCTCTGCGAAAACAATCTTGTTAGATTACTCGATGGCAGTTTGTGTTTGGTATTTAGGAAGTCGTTTTCGTGAATCTCGCCCCTTGATATTTTACGCCCGTCGCTCCTTGAGATCGCCGATCTCACGATCGCATACTTTTATTGTTTCTTTATCATGTCCGCTTTTACGAATTCGTGACATTTCGTTCGATTTGTTTGCAGATTTCACGATAAATTCGCGCGATATGGCACTGAAACTTATCTCAGTGAAAGTATCGAGAGAAGATTAACCTTTCGCGAGATATAATAATAATATCAACAATGATAATTGTATGAGGAACAACAAAGTATCATACGTGATGAACGGTGTAATAAAAAAGACAAGAAGCGAGGTAACAGCGTTGAAACGGTCATTACTGCCTTAATTGGACCATCGCTTGTCATTCTTCGAACATCCTCGATTGTGTTTCAAATAGAAACACAAACATGGAAATTCGAAGACCGAAAAAAAAAAAGAATTCACAACTGAGACCCGGCTTATCGGTTTTCGCTTCCAAAATGCAAGAAACTCGAGATTATTCGGCACACGTACAACGACACCGACCCCCAGTTAAGAATTCAATCAGTCGACAGGATGTGGCCCATTGTTTTCGCGGTTGGTCGAGAATGCAGATGCGATCAGGTCGCCTCTGGTGTGCCGCGCATAATATGCGTGCAGCACACGGATTATAACGCTTCCCTGTCATAAGCAGATGTCGATCCCGATTTCGTCCGCACGGTTGCGCAGCCTCCTCTCCTCCCCGCGATCGCTTAGTTCAATTGCCGTAAAAGCATTCTCGCGCGACCCTGATCGCGCGCGCGACTGCTCTTACCGGAAACTAAAATTCGCCACGCCACAGATTCGTCGGCACTAGACCCAAGTTTATCGGCGTGACACTTATCATGCTGACTAAAGTAGATGTGATACCTGATAACAAGCAATATTTATAAATGCATAGAAGAATTCGTGGCATTTTAGAATATAACCTTTCGACTGTCAGGTTTTTCTCAAGATAAATTTATTTTATAGTTTAAGAGAAAAGCAGGTTTTTCCCCTCTTTTTCCGCGGATTTTTTTCGATTTCTCTGAATTTTGTTCAAATGCGAAGTAAATTTAGCGAGTGGAAATATTGAAGTTTGGATTATATGCGAAAATTTCGGATAGAATGAACTTCCCTTATTCTTGCTGGCTATAACCGAGAGATTGAGAGATTTCGAGCCGTTTGAAAATAATCCTACCATATCCACCGTAATAATGGCGTCTGGCGGATTAATTTCCACCAAAGTTTCGCGGTTCGGCGATTATCGGATTTCTCTTTTCGTCCGGTCGGCCGTTCCGCGGCGGCCGATTTTTATCGCTCGCATTACGGACCGCGATTGCGGCGAGTGCATATGTTGCCGCGTGTAACCTCCTCGTCGAGTGGCTGTTGTGCGTTGCAGCCTCGTGTTCCCGAGGCGGGTGTAACCCCATTGTCGTAGCTGCGTGCGCCGGGAATGCAACGAAAGCACTTTAAGGGGAAGCGTCCAGCCGAGCGTGTCTCGAGGACTCGCCACCGTCTGTCTAATTCTTTGAATATTAGCGGGATAGCCGGCCACCCTCGAAAAATACCTTCCACCCCTCCGGGGTCGAAGAACCGTCACCTCGGGCGTGGGCGGTCACCGGTTGTCGTTTCGTCACTGGTGCGTGACTCGAAGATCGATTATCTCGTTCTCTTCGTTATCACATTGTTCTAGCCGCGTTTCTTCAGGCTTGTATCGTTTGCTGTACATAATGTTTTTCGTATTATTTTCTTCGATTTACTCAGAACCATCGTTAAAAGCGTAAAAAAAGCCACGCAAATCCGTCTTAAGGAACATTACTGCGCACGAAGGAAGCACTCGCGGCCCCTCCCGCATCGCCGCGTGAGTTTTTACGCACGCTTTGTGGTGCGGCCGGTACGTAGGGAGGGGGGGGGGGCGAGAGACCTTATCTAAAAGCCACGAAGAGGTACTAGACGAGGGAAGTACTCTTTCGCCGTTACCGTTCGTTAATTCCTTTTCTACCGATAATCCACTCGTCGAAGCTTGTCGAGTTTCGGCGCGCACACTCTCCGCGCTGACTTGGAGTGATCTACAAATAGTCGTTTACCTCTGCGCGTGAACTTACACCGGCCGTGTGTACGCGATTGGGGTACGTAACGTACGACTTTTCGGCTCGGCGTTTCAATTCGCTGCCGAATTCTTGAATTAATCACCGAATCCATTAATCGCTCCTCCGAGAAACTATTTGAATCGAAACCGAGAGGCGAAACTGAATCAACGTCGCTTGCGCAAAATTTTAATTTGTTCGATTTTTGAATTCGCGAATTAATCGCCGAATTAATTAATCGTTGCTCCCGATGTTTCTCGCAAGAGCGATTTGGAATGAAACTGAACGTCGAGATCGAACCGACGTCGCTTGGACGAAATTTCAATTCGTTACTGAATTCTCGAACCAACGATCGTTCCTGATTTTTCTCGCGAGAACGGGTAGACCAAAGCTGAAAGGTGAAATTGAACGGACGCGCAATTCGCGCATTGTTATCGCACCTTGTGCCTTGAACCCGCGAATAAAAGGTACCTTGAGCGCGAATAAAGGTCCGAAGGTTGCGCGCTCGCGAGAGATAGATCCGACGATGAAAACGGGACGCGCCGGAGTCGAGCCGACGGCGGAGCGAATTGTTATTTCAAGGGAGCCGACGCGTCCGTCAGTCCGTTTGTCTGTCACTCCCGGCAAGAGATGCGGTGTGTAAACAGGGAAAGTTAAACGAGATAAGGATATATAACTGGATATGGGTGTGCGTATGTTTGTGTGTGTGCGCGCGCGAGAAAGAAGCATGAACGTAAAGTTCAAGGCTAATGGTGTCAAACGAGACCAATATATTTTTCCGATCGCCTCGAAGTAAGCCTCGCTGGAAAAATTTCTGTCAATTCTCTCCCCTCCGCAACGACCATTTTCTTCCTGCCGTTTTCTGCATCTCTGTCTCTGCACGGAGAAAATGTTCCGGTAAAAATTACCACGCAAATTTTGTAATGCTGGACCATACCGGGATTATAACTGGAATTATGATGTGCGTTTTAACCTTTAGCGATGCGTACAATGAAGCACGTCACTAAAGATTACAGTGTACATCATCATTTGAGTTATAATTCCGGCATGGCCCGACGTTAAAAAATTTGCATGGCAATTTTTACTTACAATATTTTCCCCGTGTAGTCGTAGTAGTTGATCATTAAACTTTCAGCGCTTGATCATCAGTCTCGCACGCTGAGAGATGAAAATTGCAGAAATATTGGGAAAGGCGACTGTTACTCTCACACAGATATACTCCGGACTCCGTGTGATTTACCGCAATCGCGCCCCAGCGAAAAATCCCACGGGATCGGCTCGAAATTTACCGAAGGAGACGGTAGCTTGACTATAATTTCCGATTAACTCGCGGTTTACTCTCGTTCAGGCAGGTAAATGAAATGCCGCCGACGGCGGCGGCCGCGTGAAAGGCGAACGACACGCAGCCTCCTTTTCAGAAACTTCAACGAAGAACCTGTCTGCACACTTCCCGACTAATTGGCGGAAGCGAGCCTAAACGAACTTCTCTCTCTCTCTCTCTCTTCTCTCAGGTATCATCGATTCCCCGAGTCGATCTCGAAGGCGCCACGCGCGGATCGAGTGTCGGCTTACACTCTCAGGACGCAGGGTAGATCTTCGAGACGAATTCGAGGACTCGTCGAGGACGACACCGGTCGCTGTGATTCTGCCGTTCGCAACAGGTGCCGTGTATCGCGCCGTTAACGAACGACGTTGCCGCGTATCGACGCGCGCGCGCGATTACCCGATTAAGAAATCCATCAAATCGAGTCGTAAATAACCCGCCGCCTGTCGCCGTTTGACGTTAGTTGGCCCATTAAGCGCCGATAAATCTGCCGAGTAGGCGGCACGCCTCCGTGGCGAAGGTGCGCGATCGCACGGTGCGTGCGTGCATGCGTGCGTGCATGCGTGCGTGCGTGAACGTGGATGAGCGCGCGTCGACACGCGTTCGGGTAGCATCGAGTATCTGTTAGCCTCTGCTCGACAGAATCGCAGCTCGTAGGTAGACGGGGGGGGAGGGGGGCGACTAGAGT